AGACTTTTCTTTCCCCCATCCAGTGGATTAACCACCCTTGTCAAAAATCAGTTGACTATAGATGTGTGGGTTTTTTTTTTTCTGGGCTCAATTCTGTTTCATTGGTCTCTGTGTCTGTTTTGATTGCTGTAGCTGTGTAGTATATTTGAGGCCCTGTTGGCACAGTGGTTAAAAGTTTGGCTGCTAACCAAAAGGTCAGCAGTTCGAATCTACCAGCCACTCCTTGGAAACCCCATGGGACAGTTCTACTCTGTCCTGTAGGGTTGCTATGAGTTGGAATTGACTCGATGGCAACAGGTTTGGTTTTTTTTGTTTGTTTGTTTGTGCTCTTTTAATACTACATTTTAAAATCAGGAAGTGTGAGTACTGCTTTGTTCTTCTCTTTCAACATTGCTTTAGCCATTCGTTCGTGCCTCTTGCCATTCCATATAAAGTTGAGGATTGGCTTTTCTATTTCTGTAAAGAAGGCTGTTAGAATTTTGATTGCGATTGCGTTGAATCTGTAGTATCAACATCTTATCAATATTAAATTCTTCCAATCCATGAACATGGAACATCTTTCCATTTATTTAAGTCTTCTTTAATCACTTTCAGCAGTTTTTTATAGTTTTCACTTTATAAATCCCTCACATCCCTGGTTAGAGTTATTCCTAGGTATTTTATTCTCTTAGATGCTGTTGTAAATGGAATGGTTTCCCTAATTTCCCTTTCATATTTCTTGTCGCTGGTGTATAGAAACCCACCTGACTTTTGTTTGTTGACCTTGTACCCTGCAACTTTGGTAAATTCTTCTCTTAGCTCTAGAAGTTTTTTTGTGGACTCTTTGGGATTTTCTATGTATAGGATCATATATCATCCTTGAATAGAAATAATTTTACTTCTTTTTTTCTAATCTGAATACCTTTAAATTCAATTTTTGTCTAGGACTTTTTTGGCCAGGACTTCTAATGCAATAATTAATAGAAGTGTTGAGAGCAGGTACCCTTGTCTTGTCCCGATTTCAAGGGGAAAGCTCTTAGTCTTTCTCCATTAAGTGTAATGTTGGCTGTTGGCTTTTCATATATGCCCTGAATCATATTGAGGAATTTCTCTATATTCCAGTCTTCTTTAGGGTTTTTTCATTAAGAAAGGGTGTTGGATTTTATCAAACACTTTCTCTGCATCCATAGAGATGATCCTGTGGTTCTTTTCCTTTGTTCTGTCTATGTAGTGTATTACTTTGATAGAGTTTCTAATGTTGAACCATCTCAGCATTCCTGCAGTAAATCCCACTTGGTCATGGTGTATGACTCTTTTAATATGCTGTTGGATTCTGTTCGCTAGTATTTTGTTGAGGAGTTTTGCATCTATATTCGTAAGAGATAATTAACCAGTAGTTTCCTTCTCTTGTGGTATCTTTGTCTAGTTTGGATATCGGGGTTATGTTTGCTTCATAGAATGAATTAGGGAGTATTGCTTCCTTCTCTGTCATTTGTAAGAGTTTAAACAGTATTGGTGTCCGTTCTTCTCTAAATGTTTGGTAGAATTCCCCAGTGAAGCCATCTGGTCCTGGACTTTTTTTTTGGTGGGAGGTTTTTGATCACTGATTTGATCTCTTGTTATAGGTCTGTTGAGACCTTCTATTTCCTCTTGAGTCAGATTGGGTGAGTTGTGTGCTTTTAAGAATTTGTCCATTTCATCTAGGTTATCAAATTTTTGCCATACCATTGTTCATAATATTTTGTCATAATTCCCTTTATTTATATCGGATCAGTTGTAATGTCCGCTCTTTCATTTTTCATTTTGGTTATTTCCATCTTTTCTTTGTCAATTTTACTGATCTTCTCAAAGAACCAACTTCTAGTTTTACTGTTTCTCTCTTGTTTTTCCATTTTCAGTTTCATTTATCTCTGCTCTGGTCTTTGTTATTTTCTTTCTTCTGGTAGGTTTAGGCTTAGTTTACTCTTCTCTTTGTAGTTTCTGGAGTTGTCAAATTTAGGCTGTTCATTTGAGATTTTTTTTTTTTTTTTATGTAGGCATTTATGGCTATAAGTTTCCCTCTGAATGTGGTTTTGGTATATGTTGTGCTTTCATTTTCATTTGACTCGAAGAAATTTGTGATTTCTCTTGATTTCATCCTTGACTCGTCGGTATTTTGGTAGTGTGTTGTTCAATTTCCATATGTTTTGTATTTTCCAGGTTTTTTTTTTCTTCTGTTAACGATTTCTAGCTTTACTCTGTTATGGTCAGAGAAAATATTTTGCATGATTTCAATCTTTTTAAATTAATCAAAACTTGCTTTGTGACCTGAAATGTGGTTTATCCTGGAGAGTGATCCATATGCACTGAAGCAGAATGTATAATGTACTAGTTTTGGGTGGAGTGTTCCATGTATGTTTGTTAACTCTTGTTGGTTTATAGTGTCATTCAGGTACTGTGTTTTCTTGTTGATCTTCTTTCTAGATGTTCTGTCCAATACTGAAAGTGGTATATTAAAATCAACTATTATTGTAGTAGTGTTTCTCCCTTCAATTCTGTCAGTGTTTGTTTTATATATTTAGGTGTCCTGATGTTGGGTGCATACATATTTATGATTGTTAAATCTTATTGGTTAATTGACCCTTTTATTCACTATATCATGTCCATCTTTATCTCTTCTGACAGATTTTGTCTTGAAGTCTACTTCGTCTGATACTAAGATTGCCACCCCAGCTCTCTTTTGGTTATTATTTGCATGGAATTTTTTTTTCCATCCTTTCACTTTCAACCTATTTGTGTCCTTGGGTTTATGGTGTGAATCTTGAAAACAGCATATAGTTGGATCGTATTTTTTAATCCATTCTGCCACTCTCTGCCTTCTGATTGGAGCATTTAGTCCATTTACACTCAGTGTAGTTACTGGTAAGAAGTGAGTTAATTCTGCCAATTTGTTACTTGGTTTTTGTATGTCTTAAGCCTTCTTTGTCTTTGTCCTTAAGTACTGCTTGTTTTTGTGGTTTGTTGGTTTATTGTAGGGAGCCTTTTTGGTTCCCTTCTCCGTTCGTTTTGTGTATGTTTTTTATATATTTCCTTATGGTTACCATGAATATTACATTTAAGAGCTTGTATTGATAACATTCTAGGATAAGTTGATACCAACTTAACTTCAGTAACATATAAGAAATTCTATATCTATACCATTCTTCTTCCTACCCCTCTCCTTTTGTTGTCATCTCTAATTAAGTCTTTTTATTTCATGTGCCCTGTAACATAATTTTATCCTTCTGTTTTATCTGTTATTAAAAAGCATGAAGGACAAAGGTTTAGAATTATCAAGCATGAATACCTTATCACTAGCCCTTATGCTTGTCCATGCATTTCCTTTTATTAAGGATATTTGTTTTTATATATAGCTTTGAATTACTTTCTTATGTCTTTTCCCTTCCATCTACAGAACTTCAATTAGTATTTTTTTATAGGACTGGTCTGGTGGATATGAACTGTCTCTGCTTCTGTTTATCTGAGAATGTTTTAATTTCACCTTCATTCTTGAAGGATCATTTCACTGGGTATATGTAGCCTTTTTGGTAGTCTTAAAAAAGGTTTTAAACTTCTTATTTCAGATTTTTAATTATTAAGATACCCTGTTACAAAAACACATTGCCATCAAGTTGATTCCGACTCATAGTGACCCTATTATAGATAATTCTTTTAGATCTCAAATCCTGTCATGTGTGTGCATATATCTATATATATAGAGAGAGAGGGAGGGAGTGTTGGGGAAGTGCCTTCTTGTTCCTGGCTTCAAGTGGATTGGTTTCCCATGTGTTCTTTTAGATTTAGTGTGAACTCCTCTTCATCATTAGACTGTAGTAATTCTGTGAGGTTGAGAGCATTGCCTTCCATAGTTTTTGCCCTTGTTTTTGCCAGGCATTCCTGCATTATCACAGCCCCAGTTCTGCTTCTCTTGCTTTTCCCCTAATCCCTGCAAAATTTTTTTATACTTTTAAAAAAATAAGAATTATAGATTCACAGGCAGTTACAAGGAAATGTACAGGGAAGTCCCATTCACTCTTCCCCCAGCCTCTCCTAGTGTTAACAGCATCCAAACCAAGCAAAAGAGATTGGTACAATCCATAGAGCTTATTTGTGTGTGTGTGCATATGCGTGCATGCATGCAGTTTTATCATATATATAACCTTGTGTTAGTCACCACAGGAGTCCCTTGAATTACCCTTTTATAGCCATACTCATCTCCTCCACATCTATGATCCTTGGCAACCGCTAATATGTCCTCTATTTTTATAATTATGTTATTTCACAAATATTACATAAATGGAGTCATGCTGTATGTATCCTGTTGAGATTGGCTGTTTTTCACTAAGCATAATTTTCTTGTGGATCATCCAAGTTGTTGCATATTTCAATAGTTAGTTCTTTTTATTGCTGAGTAGTATTCCATGGTATGGATGTACCAGTTTGTTTAGCATTTCACCTATTGGAAGATATTTTCCAATTGATAGCTTTCTTTCGATTGGTATTTCTTTGATATGTTTCCAGTTTTTTACTATTATGAATAAAGCTGCAGTGAACATTCATCTCCCATATTTTTTGAAAAATTTCAGACATTACTTAATGTCTTGCCCCAAGTACCTTTGTTCTATATTGCAGTGTTTTCACTATAAACTTTAATAATTATATCCATATTTATCATTATTTATATGATATTTCTGTGAATTACCTGAAAAACAATGATTTTTACTTTTATTGTTTTTGAGTTAATTGAATTGAGTCTTCTTGCTTTATGGTCCATTATATGACTTTTTTATAGATGGGAAAAACTGGGACTTAGCTTACCTAAATTAATCATTCTGATCCAACATTTAATATTCTTCTCAACAGTGAGTGATTACCACACTTTTGGAATACAATTTAAAAAAAGAATCTTTTCATACATAGTGTTTATTGGGATAGATTGTGACTGGTGAAATTTGTTGAATAAAGTTATGTGTTAAACGTTTGTGTGAATATCCTTTGTTTAGGAAGTCGAGGCACAAGAGGCTCTCAAATTGATAGTCACAGTAGTAGTAGCAACTATCATGAAAGCTGGGAAACTCGAAGTAGCTATCCTGAAAGAGACAGATATCCTGAAAGAGACAACAGAGATCAAGCAAGGGATTCTTCATTTGAGAGAAGACATGGAGAGAGAGACCGTCGTGACAACAGAGAAAGAGGTTTGTCAAATGGTGTATTATTAAATAGTGACCAACACCAATTAGGGCGATTGGATTTTAAACAGTTATTAATTTACTTTTTACTATAAAGTATCTTTTCAGACCTTTGCTTAATAATACATCTGAAACTATTTACTCATATATAGTCTTTCTCTTACTTGGCTCAGGAGGGATTACGTAAATAGTTAGCTACCTGTACCTACTAACAACAGAGTACATGAACTAGGGTGCCCTGCTGGCTGTCTTTCACTTTAGTGGAAAAGCTCACAAACCTTTAAAGGATGTAAATATTTGAGTGCCATCCCAGGCAGTTCTGATTCAGGAGATCTAAGCCTTCTCATTTGAGTATACTACTACCCACTCAACTCTATGTGATAAATAAGCCTTTTAAGGACTGCCAGAGAGGTTTAGAACAAATGATAGGTTGGGGATTGTTGGTAGAAACATTTTATTCATATTTCATCCTGAGAAAATGTATTATTTGTAATACTTGCTTTAGCTAATTTTATATTCTGGTTTGTCTTAAGCTAACACTTTCCTGTTAATTTAGTAGATGATCTCTTAAAGAAAGAAATTTTGAAGTGAAATTACTAGGAGGCATTTAAGAAGGGTTATAAGCACTTACTTCAGTAAGCTTTTATTGTCTGTTCATATTAGGGCCCTTAAACATTTAAAATCTTGTGAAGGTCTTACTAACCTTCTTGGCTGGTTACTAGAATAAGGTTCACTGTATGCTGAGATAAATACAGTATGAAACTTGATGGACAAGGGAATGAAATATTGATGCTTCCCTGTGGGCTGAATCAAGGAGGTAGTTATGTATCTTGATGTGGGTAGTGATGGAAGGAGTACAAATTCTTTAAGACCACCATATACTTTTGGGAGTACAGGTGAGATCGGAGGCAGGAGAGTTGGTTCGGTTGAGTTTGTTAAGGTAAGCCTAATGCATTTGGGTTAAAAAATGTGTAGAATTTCCTTAGCTGTAGTTGTTCTGTGTTGGTATCTGAAATCATTTCTTCTCTAACACTTTGATTCACCTTTCTTTACCTCCTTTCTCTAATCTACTACCATGTCTTGATAATGCTTTTTAAGATAATGTCTCTCATGGTTTTTTTCCTTTTTTTTCTATTTTCATATCCTAGCTTAGGTTTTTCTTTTCTCCTGCCTGAATTCAGTAGTGACGTTTGGTTTAAGTCTTATATTTAGTTCAACCACACATGCATTGAGCTTCTCCTAGGTGCCAAGAGAATGGTACTTTACGTATATTATTTGACGTAATCTTTACAATATCCCTGTGAGTGTAGGTATGATACAAGAACCCATATTTCACAATTTAGGCAAGTTAGGTTAAGAGAAGGGAGGTGATTTTTCCAGTATTAAAGTGAAGTAAATTCCAGAGGTAGAATTTAGACCCAGATTTTCTGACTGCAAGTGCAGTTCTCTTTCCATCTTACTTCACTGTAACTACTTCAATAAATGTCAGTTGTATGATTGAAATAGAAATTTATTTTAGAGGTTAATGATACATTCTACAAATATTTGTTAAGCACTCACGCCGTCAGTTTGCTAGGTACTTGAAATACAATGGTTCCTGTTCTTGTAGAACTTAATAGGGAGGAAAGAACATCCCCTCTCTCCCAAAAAATGGTTAGTGAGAGCTATAAAGGAGGCAGACAGGGGTGCTGGATAGATCTAAAGATAGAGAGACTGACTTTATTTTTATTTTTATTTTTTATTGTAGTTCAAGTGAAAGTTTACAATTCAAGTTAGCCTCTCATACAAAAATTTATACATACATTGTTACGTGACTGTAATTGCTCTCCCTGTATTGTGACAGCACACTCCTCCTTTCCACCCCAGATTTCCCGTGTCCATTCAACCACCTCCTAACCCTCTCTATCTTCTCATCTCACCTCCGGACAGAAGCTGCCCATTTAATCTCATGTATCTACTTGAGCTAAGAAGCACACTCTTGACAAGTATCATTTTATGTCCCATAGTCCAGTCTAATCTTCGTCTGAAGAGTTGGCCTCAGGAATGGTTTTAGTTCTGGGTTAACAGTCCGGGGGCCATGCTTTCCAGGGTTCTTCCAGTCTCAGTTGGACCATTAAGTCTGGGACAGACTGACTTTAGATAGAGTGGTTATGTGAAATTTGAGGAGATCACATTTATGCAGAGATGTGAATGGAAGGGAAGAAGCTACCTTTGCGGAGATTGAGGGTGAACACATTCCATGCAGAGGGAAGAGTAGGTGCAATTTCCCTGAGATGAGAAATAGCCTAATGTGATGTAGGCACTGAATGTGAAGACCCATATGGCTAGTGTGTGTTGAGCGATAGGGAGAGTGATAGTGGTTCAGAGTAGAGATGTACCAAGTACCTTGTTCTGTATTTGAGGAATTAAACCTTTCTTTTAGTTTTTCAGCCTAATCAGGGTATAGATAGACAGTTGAACTGTGATAAATGCTATTACTATATAAAGTTCTGTGAGAACACAAAGGCACAAACACAATTCTGGGGAAGTCTAAGAAGACTTCTTAAAGAGGTGACATCTGAGTTTGGACCTGAAGGATAAATAAGAGTTTGCTAAAAGGAACAATGGAAGAAGCACTTTGCAGGAACAGGGAACAGCACGTGCAGGCACACAGGACTAAAAGAAGCATGTGCTTCAAAGTAGCAAAGAATTAGGAGGTTGGCATGGAGGTATGCTGTATTGGTGGGGAAGGAAAGAAGCTGCAGGAAAAGATTGATGAGAGACTATAGGCCAGATCTTAAATAGTCTAATAAGTCACACTAAACATTGTAAATTAAATTGCCTTTTCACTACCTACAAGATAACTGCTTTTAAGCAGCTGGAAGAAATAGAATTTTTATTTAAATAAAGTATAAGAGAGTCTGGGGAAAGACTGAAGACAAGGATACCAGCCAGTTGGGCTGTTGATTGTGTAGTATTCTAAGAAGAGCTGATCAGGGTCTGAGTTAATGTATTAACGGTAGGGATATAAGGAGAGGAAAGGCAATAAGGAAATATTTTAGTTGGAATTGATGGGACTTGGATGTTAATTATAAATTAGATAGGTTGGAGATTTCCAGCTTTCATGAAATAGGTGTATTACTCATTAAGATAAGGAAATACAGTGAAACTGTGAGAGCTGGAACTCACTAAGACGGCCTTGTTTTTCTGGGCCTTTCAAATTTTCTGCCTTTGACAGGAATAGTCTTAACACTTTACTGTTGCTTGTTTTAATGGAAAGTATTTGCATTTTCCTTCTCTGACAGGTTTCCACCTTACACAGGTTTCAGCTTTCACAGGTTTTACTGTATATGAAGAGAAAAATACATTTGGGGGCAAGATAGGGAAGATAATGTAGACATATTAATGTGGTGTTCTTGTATTCTTTACATTATGCTTTGATGTATGGATCATTGTCATTTAGTTGAAAGAATAAAGTTTTTATCTACCAAAAAGAATGCCTGCATAGTGTATGTCCTAACATTGTTATAATCAGAAACTCCAAGTATGAATTTCTGTAAGTTGCATTTTTTTCAGGCTGTTTTATAGCTGTTGTGACATTGGGATGATCCCCAAATCTGGAATTCAGACATCATAAGACATGGGTATATAGCATTCTGGGAATCCGAAGTGTGGTGCATTAGAACTGTTCTAAATTTAAGCTGGTTCCAACAAAAGTAAAACGGTGTAAGAGAACTGACTTGTAGTCCTGATATCCTAATTCTTCTGCCATCTCTGTGACTTTCGCACATTAACTTCTGGACCATGAGTTCTATGTTTTAAAGAAGAAAGGAGGGGAAGGTTGGATAGGGTTTCATTTCATTTTTGCTTTAAAATTATATGAACTTTTATGTTTGGACCTATAACTTTTCTAAAGAGTAAAAGAAGGATAATTCTTGTCTTTTTCATCAGTGGTAAGAAAGGGCATTCAGATTACTGTATTGTATCCTTCCCTTGAAATATCCTAAAATTATACTGCTTAATAAATTGATGCCAGATGCTCACTTAAAATACAAGCCTCTTGGTCTGTTGTAGCCTTTATTGACTAACGGACAGATATTATATAGTATGAAAGCAGAAAGACTACAGTAGCTTAGATCCTATTACAATGAATAACTCTGAAAAATGGCCATCTGTGGAAAAAGTCATAACCATCCTCTTACACATTTTTTGATCCCAGACTAATTTCCTGCTTAGCTGGGTATTTGGGCATCATGCATTCATTTCTCAAATATTTAAAGAAAAAAAAGGTGAAGAGAAAAACTAAATATGATGTAAAGAGAAGTGTTTTTATATGATCCATGCGCTGATTGGAAAAAATATAAAATATGATGAGATTATCAGTTAGCATTTTAAGAAAATAGCTCCTCATCTGAGTGATCAGTTATATGATAAAAATTTTTTAGAAGTTAGTTATTAATTATAAATATATAGCACTAAGATAGTCACTTTTTACATTTGCTTATTTCAAGATTGCTAAGTACCAGCATCCCTAATATTCTAGTTTATGGTAAGAAATTGATATTGCAGCAACAAATATTGACAGATGTTTTGTTCTGCTATATTTTCCTCACATAATAGTTGCACTTTGATATGTATATATTTTGCCCTGAAATTAGAGGTGTGACTTATGAGGGAAATTTTGTTTTTCCTTCAGCTCCTATGTTCTACACCTCCTGCTGCCCCTATCCTTTGCCACCAGTGTTCTCAGGTCCTGCCTGGGGGGACAGAGAAGATCAGAGGTGAAGGGTAGAGATGGCAGAAAGTGGGGTTGGAGCAGTGGTCTGGAGGAAGGGTAGGGAGCGTGCAGAGAAAGATCAGAGGTGGATCAGGGGAAGATGGAGGGGAGTTGATGGGGAGTAGAAAATATCGTAGTTAGAGGGCAAATAAAAATTATCTTTAAGAAGAAATATTAAAGGTTTAGGGGTGATTGTTGCTTAGATAATTAAAAGTAAACATAGTGTCTATAATTCATTGCCAGCGTGACCCTGTACACAGATAAAATTTAAGATTTGCCATGCTGTCTTATCAATAAGTTATCTGTCAAATTAATCACTGACAAAACTTGATTTTCATTGTAGATCAAAGACCAAGCTCACCAATTCGACATCAGGGAAGGAATGACGAGCTTGAGCGTGATGAAAGAAGAGAGGAACGAAGAGTAGACAGAGTAGATGATAGAAGAGATGAAAGGGCTAGAGAAAGAGATCGGGAACGAGAACGAGACAGGGAGCGGGAGAGAGAGAGGGAACGTGAACGGGAGCGGGAACGAGAGAAAGAAAGAGAATTAGAAAGAGAGCGTGCTAGGGAAAGGGAGAGAGAGAGAGAGAAAGAAAGAGACCGTGAGAGAGAGAGAGATCGTGACCATGAACGGGAGAGGGAAAGAGACAGGGAGCGAGATCGGGAAAAAGAACGGGAGCGAGAGAGAGAAGAAAGGGAGAGGGAGAGAGAGAGAGAACGAGAGAGGGAACGAGAACGGGAACGGGAACGAGAAAGAGCGAGAGAAAGGGATAAAGAGCGAGAACGTCAAAGGGAATGGGAAGACAAAGACAAAGGACGAGATGACCGCAGAGAAAAGCGAGAAGATATCCGAGAAGAAAGGAATCTAAGAGATGGGCACGATGAAAGGAAATCAAAGTAAGAATGATTAGGAATCTGTTTTTAAAAATTATATTGCAGCCCTTGCATTGAAAAAAGTTTCATTTAATGCTTTCCAGTGTGCCCTTTAATTTTGTTAATTCTTTTTCCTCTTTATTTTCTCTCTACATTTTCCTGTATTTCAATTTTATTTTACATATTTAGTGTTTAAAGTCTTTTAAATTGTCAAAAAAAGTGTTTTTCCATTCCACTATTCCTGTATCCAAGGGATGTAATTATCATTCTGGCTTAAACACTGCCGTTTTTAGTAGCACGTTGGCTTACTCATCTGCTGCAGACTTTTTTCCCAGAGCGAGTCCAGCATAAAAGTGATAGAATCAACAGACTTGTATCCCATCACAACCCCTTTATAACTAGTTAATGGAGTTGATTAGTCACCGAAAGATACTGTCTGTACCGTTCCTGATAATGCTTCGTGAATTTTGTGTACTTGTTAGTGTGGAGTCACTGCCTCCAGGCCACACAAAGCAGTCACACAGCTTAGGTGTGAAGGAGTCCCTGTAACCACTGCCTGGCTGGATACCCAGCCGCACAAGCTCAGGCTTCTGAGTTGTCTTACTGCATCTGGGGCCCCCTCCTCCTTAGAGTTCCTCGTCTGTTCAAGGCGCTGTCAAGGAGGTGCTGCAGTATGTTTCTCAACCTTTCACCATAGTATTTATAAACAAACAATGTTAGTAAAAAAAAAAAAAAAAATAGTGGTCACAATTTAAGAGAATGTAGGGAAACACTAAAATAACAAGTACCCAAGAAATACGATAAATCACTACTGTTTTAAAATTTAAGGAACAAAAAGTAAAATGAAAATATGAATTATTTTATTAATGTGTTATCAAGCAAGTGATTTAGTTCAAAGAAAGGAAGCTAAGTTTTATAGTGTACCCACAACATGCCTGGCACTGGGCTTCTGACATAATTTATTCCTCACTGTAATTTGCCCCCCATTTTCACATGAGAAAGCTGCAGTTTAGTGAGCTCAAGGAACTTACCTAAGGTTGCATGGCTAAGGTTGAACTTATACCTGTCTGACAACTCAACCATACTGGCTTTTCCCATTCTGTTTCCCAGCATAAGGCATTAGATCATAAAAATGTAAAATTGACAAATGTGTATATTAGAGGGTATGTTAGTATATTTATTCCTCCGCTGCATGTCACCGTCTTGCAGTATTTAAATCTGGCAATTTTCACTTGAAGTGATTCTACATGTGTAATGAGGAAAAGAAAAATGTTGCCACGTATTTTAAGTCCATTATTGTCTTTTTGCAGATGAAGTAAAGAATTTTATTAAAGAACTGAATACCCTTTGCATGGTATAGCTCTGACAATATTGCTATCCTGCAATTATATGTTCTAGTTATAGTAAAGGAATACTAGTAAAAAATGTAGAAAGAAATCTGTTTTTTTGCCCCTGGAATTTTATAAACTGCATTTGTTTGTCCAATTTAGGAAGCGCTATAGAAATGAAGGGAGTCCTAGCCCTCGTCAGTCACCTAAGCGCCGACGTGAACATTCTCCTGACAGTGATGCCTACAACAGTGGAGATGATAAAAGTAAGCACAATTTATTTTCTGTGTCTCTGTATTCAGATTCATTTGTAACCATGAGACAATTCTTTGCCCTTAGTACAAACTGGTAAATTAAAATGTTTAAGTATTCTTGCTCTGCTGCCTTTGAATATCTTCTTATGTCACTAAAGTATCTGTGTCAGAAATACACAGTCATTTTAGAAATACAGTTATTTTATCGTAATGGCACTGTCATTCCCTGCTATTTGTGTAAAACTGTATTTTGAAATTTTTACTAAAATTAGTGCCATTTATAATTAGTGCCACTTAAAAAATGAAAAATGAGAGATTGGCTTACTGCTCTTTATATACACTGTGCAATGTTTGTTAACTTGGTGAAAGTATGCTTACTTTTATCTTTTTGTATAGATGAAAAACATAGACTCTTGAGCCAAGTTGTACTACCTCAAGAAACTCGTTCTCTCAGTCCCTCCCACCTTACAGACGACAGGCAGGGTAGATGGAAAGAGGAGGATCGTAAACCAGAAAGAAAAGAGAGTTCACGGCGTTACGAAGAGCAAGACATCAAAGAGAAAATTTCTTCTGTAGATAAGCAGAGAGAACTGACAGAAATCATGGAAAGCTCAAGAACGCGTGCACAGGACATTCTAGGACACCACCAGTCTGAAGATCGAGATATATCTGATCGAGTTCATGAAGAAAACAAGAAAAAAGCAAAAATTCAGAAGAAGCCCATTAAGAAAAAGAAAGAGGATGATGTTGGAATAGAGAGGGGTCATGCAGAGATAATATCTGAAGATGGTCAAGTATTTTCCCCCAAAAAAGGACAGAAAAAGAAAAGTGTTGAAAAAAAACGTAAAAGATCCAGAGGCGATTCTGATATTTCTGATGAAGAGGCAGTTCAGCAGAGTAAGAAGAAGAAAGGCCCACGGACTCCCCCTATAACAACTAAAGAGGAATTGGTTGAAATTTCCCGTGCTAAGGATGGCACTGTAGAAGATCCTCAGAAAAAAGAAGACACAGCATTCAGTGACTGGTCTGATGAGGATGTGCCTGACCGCACAGAGGCAGCAGAACCAGAGCACACTGCCAACGCTGCTACTCCTACTAGTACTCCTCCTCTGTCTTCTATTCTTCCTCCTCCTCCTCCTGTGGCTACTGCCACTGCTGCTTTTGCCACTGCTAATACTGTTGCTGCCATCACCTTTACCACGTCTGCCACCACCATTTCCGCTACTTTCACCAATGAAGAATCGCATAGAAAGTGTCACAGAGCACGAGTGGAGAAAGTAGAGGCACCTCATGTTACTATAGAAGATGCACCACATCGCAAGCCAGTGGATCAGAAGAGGAGTAGCAGCCTCGGGAGCAATCGGAGTAATCGTAGTCATACATCTGGTCGCCTCCGCTCCCCGTCCAACGACTCTGCCCATCGAAGTGGAGATGACCAAAGTGGTCGAAAGAGAGTACTGCATAGTAGTTCAAGAGATAGAGAAAAAACCAAGAGCCTGGAAATCACAGGAGAGAGGAAATCTAGGATTGATCAGTTAAAGCGTGGAGAACCTAGTCGAAGCACTTCTTCAGGTAATAAAATTTAATTTTGATATAACCAGTGTTTCCTATGATAGTATAATTTCTACGAATTATATTTCTAAACTAGTTCTAAATTGGTTACTTTATATGCTGCCTTAAATTTTATGGAACTTAGCAAAAAAACTTAGCTGTCCCATCAAAATAGTTTGTCTCATTATTTGCAATAGTTATGTTCTATAAAGTTGCCTCAAACACTGAATTAATAAATAGTAAGTCATTACCCCTAGAGGAGATACAGGGTTAGGTTCCTGTGAGCCTCTAGTCAAAACATTTTTGTCAGTCGATCAATATATAACTTTGCTTTATGTGTATTTCTGTTTAAAGATACCTTATTTATTATATGTATAGCCACGGAGAATTTAACATTTTCCTGATCCTGGGTAACATGTCCATAAATTTCTTTAGCTTTCAGCCTTACAACGTGCGGTTCATATGCTTTGCTTTTTTTTTTAAAAAAAAAAATCAGTTGTCATCTCATGAATCCACAAATTCAGCTGTTTTTTCATCTTTTCCATAGCTTCATCGTGTACTATAGATGTTACTTCAGCACTGTCTTAGTTATCTAGTGCTGCTATAACAGAAATACCACAAGTGAATGACTTTAACACAGAAATTTATTTTCTCAGTTTAGAAGTCTGAATTCAGGGTGCCAGCTCCAGGGGAAGGCTTTCTTTCTCTGTCAGCTCTGGGGGAAGGTCCTTGTCATCAATCTTCCCCTGGTTTAGGAACTTCTCAGTGCAGGGACCTCGCGTCCAAAGGATGCGCTCCGCTCCCAGCTCTTGTTTCTTGGTGGTAGGAGGTCCCTCTCCTCTCTGCTCAGTTCTCTTTTATATCTCAGAGATTGACTCAAGATACAACCTGAAGAGTCCTGCCTCATTAACATAACTGCCTCTAATCCTGCCTCATTAACATTATAGAGGTTAGGATTTACAGCACATAGGATAATCACATCAGATGACAAAATGGTGGACAACCACATAATACTGGGAATCATGGCCTAGCCAAGTTTTTTTTTTTTGCTGGCTTCTCCAGTATTGTGTTCTATCTTATACTTCCCCAAAGTTATCACTTATTTATTGTCTATTTAGTATTTTTCCACCCCCACCTCTCCTCTCCCGTGTAACCATCAAAGATTGTTTCTTTTTTTGTGTAAACCTTTTCATGGGTTTTTATAATAGTGGTCTCATACAATATTTGCCCTTTTGTGATTGACTTATTTCATTCAGCATAGTGCCCTCCAGATTCATCCATGTTGTGAGATGCTAGGCAGATTCATCATTGTTCTTTATCGTTGTGTAGTACTCTATTGTGTGTATGTACCATAATTTGTTTATCCATTCATGTGTTGATAGGCACCTAGGTTATTTCCATCTTTATGCTATTGTGAACAGTGCTACAGTGAACATGGCTGTGCATATGTCTATTCGTGTGACAGCTCTTATTTCCCTAGGATATATTCGTATGAGTGGGATAGCTGGATTGTATGGTATTTCTATTTCTGGCTTTCTAAGGAATCGCCATATTGTTTTCTAAAATGATTGTATTGTTTTGCATTCCCACCAGCAGTGCATAAGAGTTCCAGTCTCCCTGCCGCCTCTCCAACATTTGTTATTTTCTGTTTTTGATTTGTGCCAGTAAAGATAGGGGTGAGATGGTATCTCATTGTGGTTTTAATTTGCATTTCTCTAATGGCTAGTGACCACAAGCATTTCCCCATGTGGCTGTTAACCGCTTGAGTGTCTTCTTTGGTGAAGTGTCTGTTCATTTCCTTTGCCCATTTTTTAATTGGATTATTTGTCTTTTTGTTGTAGAGGTGTTGGATTTTCCTGATTTTAGAGATTAGACCTTTGTTGGATTTGTCATAGCCAAAAAAGTTTTTCCCAGTCTGTAGGTTCTCTTTTTACTCTTTTGGTGAAGTATTTTGATGAGCATAAGTGTTTAATTTTTAGAAGATCCCCATTATCTAACTTATCTTCTAGAGTTTGTGTGTTGTTAGTTATGGTTGGTATCCTGTCAATGCCATGTATTAGGGCCTCTAGCGTTGATCCTGTTTTTTTTTTCCTGTGATCTTTATGGTTTTTGGTTTTATATTTAAGTCTTTAATCCATTTTGAATTAGTTTTTGTGTAGGGTATAAAGTAAAAAGTGTGGGTCCTGTTTCATTTTTTTGCAGATGGACATCCAGTTTTGCCAGCACCATTTGTTAAAAAGCCGGTCTTTTCCCCATTTGATGGACTTTGGGCCCTTGTCGAAGACCAGGTGACCGTAGGTGGATGGATTTACATCTGGTTTCTCAGTTCTGTTCCATTGGTCAATGTATCTGTTGTTGTACTGGTACCAGGCTGTTTTGACTACCGTAGCTGTATGGTAGATTCTGAGGTCAGGTAATATGAGTCCTACTTTATTCTTTTTCTTCAATAGTGTTTTACTTCTCCGGGGCTTCTTCCCTTTCCATATAAAGTTAAAAGAGTAGTTTTTCCATCTCTTTAAAGAATGTTGTTGGTACAGGGCTTTTTTTTTGTTGGGAGTTGTTTTTAATTCGTTTTTCGGTCTCTTCTCTTGTTATGGGTCTCTTCAGATTTTCAACATCATTTTGTGTTAGTTTGGATAGATAGTGTGTTTCTAGAAATTTGTCCGTTTCCTCTAGGTTTTCAAATTTGTTGGAGTATAGTTTTTCGTAGTACTCTGTTATGATCTTTTTTATTTCATTTGGGTCTGTTGTAATGTTCCCCATTTCATTTCTTATTTGGGTTATTTGCATCCTCTCCTGTTTTTCTTTGTCAGTTTGGCCAATGGTTTGTCGATTTTGTTGATCCTTTCAAAGAACCAACTTTTGGTTTTATTGGTTCTGTTGTCTTTCTGTCCTCTATTTCATTTATTTCTGCTCTGATATTTATTATTTCCTTTCTTCTGGTGGCTGTGGGCTTCTTTTGCTGCTCTCTTTCAGTTTGTTCAAGTTGCATAGCTAATATGTTGATTTTGTCCCTTTCTTGTTTTTTGGTATGTGCGTCTGTTGGTATAAATTTACCTCTGAGCACTGCCTTTGCTGTGTCCCAGAGGTTTTGATATGATGTATTTTCATTCTCGTTTGATTCTAGGAATTTTTTGATTCCATCTTTGATTTCTTCTATTACCCAGTAGTTTGTAAGCAGGGTGTTACTCAGTTTTCATGTAATAGATTTTTTTTTCCTTGCTCTTCCTGTTGTTAATTTCTACTTCGATGGCATTGTGATCAGAGAAGACACTTTGTATTATCCCAGTGTTTTGGATTTTGTTGAGGATTGCTTTGTGGCCTAAGATGTGCTCTATTCTGGAGAACATTCCATGTGCATTGGAAAAGAATGTGTACTTTGCAGCTGTTGAGTATAGTGTTCTATGTATGTCCAAGAGGTCAAGTTGGCTGATTGTGACGGCCTAGCCAAGTTGATACACAATTTTGGGGGACACAATTCAATCTACAACAAGCACTTTCCAGAGCACCTTCATGTACAGATTGGTGAATCTCCTCCTCCTTTTTCTAAATGTACCATGTTGTTGATTCAGTCACATTAAACTTAAGCCAACAGCACTATAACTCATGCTTCAACAAAATTATCTAACACACTTGTTTTATATCTGTAAGGCACTTCACAGTCTTTTCACACATAGCAACACTAGACGGTGCTTCCACACTATACTTGGGGTCAATTTTAAATAGCAAAATCACCAACAGAATGCACAGACATGTGAAAAACATGGCACTAACTAGACTGCAAAAAGAACACTTGTTTACAGTGCGAGAAGGCAGAGGTTTGCCTTGTTTGACCGCAGCTGGGAACGTGTGTGCTGGGTGACTCAAATTTTTCACTGCTCCAAGTATGTCTACTGTGACCGTGAAAGCACCATCAGTGTTGATTTTTGGGGTTACAGCTAGATTTTAGCAAGTAGGTGACTTCCCAGATATGGAGTCCACAAATAATAAGGATTGAATGTATTACCTGTTATCACATTAATACTAACATTATAATAGAGGAACATTCAACATTATCATAACTCAAAAAAAAAAAACCCATTGCCGTCAAGTGGATTCCAACTCATAGTGAGTAGATATGCCCCATTGGGTTTCCAAGGCATCTTTATGGAAGCTGACTACCACATCTTTCTCCTGTGGAGTGGATGGTAGGTTCGAACTGCTCGCCTTCTGGCTAGCAGCTGAGTGCTTTAACCACTGCACAACCAGACTTCCGTAATATTGTAATAAACCAGAAAATCAAACCTGTTGCCTTTGTGTCAATTGCAACTCATAGTGACCCTATATGACAGAGTAGAACTTCCCCATAGGGTTTCCAAGGGGCGCCTGGTGGATTTGAGCTGCTGACCTTTTGGTTAGCAGCCAAACTCTTAACCACTACGCCACCAGGGTTTCCAACTGTATAATTAAAAAAAGAAAAACCAAACCCATTGCCGTCGAGTCGATTCCAACTCATAGCGACCCTATAGGACAGAGTAGAACTGCCTCGTAGAGTTTCCAAGGGGCATCTGGTGGATTCGAACTGCCAACCTTTTGGTTAGCAGCTGTAGCACTTAACCACTTTGCCACCAGGGTAGCATATAATAGAGGTACATTAGTCAGTTTTTATATCAAGATTTTAGTAGTAAATGTTGGTGAAGGGCTTTATGTATTCAGGTCCCTTATTGAAGCCTAAAATTTTACCTTCCTGCTGTTCTTCCTGGAGCCAATGCTATCTCTCTCTTTTTTTTTTATGGTAAAAATATGTATAACAAAACATGCCAGTTCAACAGTTTTTACATGTGTAATTCAGAGACATTGGTTATATTCATCATATTATGTAACTATATTATTTCACAAAGTCGGTGCCCCTTAAGCACTTCCTCCCTCCCACCCTTGGTAACCACTAATAAGCGTTGGTCTGTACACATTGGCTTGTTTCATATAAGCAGAATCAGACAGTATCCCTCCTTTTGTGACTGACTTAATTTACTCAATATAATGTTTCCATGTTGTAGCATGTATCAGGACTTCATTTCTCTTTATGGCTGGAGTCATATTCCATTGTATACACATTTTGTTTATCCATTCATCTGTTGATAGATGTTTCAGTTGTTTCTTCCTTTTGACTATTGTAAATAGTGTTGCAGTAAACATTGTATACTGGTTTCTGTTTGCGTTCCAGCTTTCAGTTCTTTTGGATATTTACCTAAGATTGGGATTGCTGGTTAAACATAGAATTTTCTGAGGAACTGCCAGACTTTTCCACAGCGCCTGTACCATTTTGCATTCCCACCAGCAATGAACGAAGGTTGCGGTTTCTCCACATCTTCACCAACACCTGTTATTTTCTGTTTTTTTGTTTTTTTTTTAAATCAGCTATTTTAGTGGTGGTGAAACCAAAACAAACCAAACCTGTTACCATTGTGTCAGTTCCAACTCACAGCGACCCTTTAGAAAAGAGTAGAACTGCCCCATAGGGTTTCCAAGGAGTGGTGGTAGCTTCGAACTGCCGATCTTTTGGTTAGCAGCCGTAGCTGTTAACCACTGTGCCACTGGAGTTCCAGTGGGGGTGAGGTGGTTATCTAATTGCAGTTTTGATTAGCATCTCCGTAATGACTAATGAGAACCCTGGTGGCACAGTTAAGAGTTTGGCTGCTAACCAGAAAGTCAGCAATTTGAATCTGCCAGCTGCTCCTTGGAAACCTTATGGGGCAGCTCTGTTCTGTCCTATAGGAACACTATGAATCAGGATCAACTCGACAGCAGTGGGTTTGTTTTTTTTTTTTTTGTTTATGACTAATGACATTGAAGTAGCAAAATGTATCTTCTCATGTACTTTTGGTCATTTGTATATCCTCTTTGGTGAAATGCCTATTCAAGTCGTTTGCCCATTTTTCAACTGGGTTGTCTATCTTTTTTGTTGCTAAGCTGTAGGAGTTCTTTATATATTCTAGATATTAAACCCTTATCAGATATACAGTTCTCAGAAAATTTCTCCAGATCTGTATGCTGTCTCAATAAAGTCCTTCGATGAACAAAAGTTTTTAATTTTTTATAAGGTCCTATTTATCTCTTTTGTCTTTTGCTGCTGATGTTTTTGATGTTATATCTAAGACTCCATGATTAAAAAGTACTAGTAATATCCCAAAGCATTACCTCTATGTTTTCCTCTAAGAGTTTTATGGTGTCAGTTCGCACATTTAGGTCCTTGATCCATTTTGAATTAGTTTTTGTATATGGTGTGAGGTATGGATCCTGCTTTATTCTTTTTCATGTAGAAATCCAGTTTTCCCAGCACCACTTATTAAAGAGACTTTTCTTTCCCCTCTTGAATGGACTTAATACAACCTTGTCAAAAATCAATTGACCATGGGTACATGGGTTTATTTTTGGACTCTGAATTGTATTCCATTGGTTTACACATCTGTCATTATATCAGTACCAGGCTGTTTTGATTACTGTAGTTTCATAGTATGTAGTTTCATAGTATGTTTAAGGTCCCTGGGTGGTACATTCGAGTACTAACCTAAAGGTTGGCTGTTGTAACCCACCCAGCCATACCACAGAAGACAGACCTGGTCATCTGTTTTGTAATGATTACAGCCAAGAAACACTATGGAGCAGTTCTACTCTGTAACACTTGGGGTTGCCATGAGTTGGAATCGACTTGATGGGAGTTATTTTTTCAATAGTATGTTTTGAAATCAGGAAGTATGAGTCCTCCTACTTCGTTCTTCCTTTTCAAGATTGCTTTGATTATTTGGGTCCCCTTCCCATTCCATGTAACCTTTTGGAATGGCATTTCCACTTCTGAGAAGAAGGCTGTTGGAATTTTTATGAGAATTACATTCAATTAATGCTGTCTCTTTAGATCACAGAAAGGTAGGGGGAGAGGGAGAGAACAAATAATAACATGATCAGTAACTATTTTATGTACTTATTTCTTTGAAGTTATTTTGTGGTTATAGTGTGGAAATAGGCCAAAAACACATGGTTTTGACATACTTTAATTGAGAGAAGTTAAATTTTCTTGAAATGAGATATTTGGATAGCTGGGAATAAATACAGAAAAAGAGAAATCGTAAATTTTAGAGGACCTAAATATGAAGCATTTTATTTCTATTTTATTAGATATTAACTCTTTGTATATGGTATATTTATTTCAGATCGCCAGGATTCAAGAAGCCATAGTTCAAGAAGAAGTTCTCCTGAGTCAGACCGACAGGTCCATTCAAGATCCGGGTCATTTGATAGCAGAGATCGGCTTCAAGAACGTGATAGATATGAACATGATAGAGACCGGGAGAGAGAGAGGAGGGATACAAGGCAGAGAGAGTGGGACCGAGATGCTGATAAAGATTGGACACGGAACAGGGACCGAGATAGATTGCGGGAGCGAGAGAGAGAACGAGACAAAAGGAGAGAGTTAGACAGAGAAAGAGAGAGACTAATTCCAGATTGTACTGAAAGGGATAGGGACAGAGACAGAACTTTTGAGAATTCTTTCCAAATAGAGAGTGTAAAACGCAGTGAAACAAAATTGGAAAGTGAGCATGAAAGAGACCTAGAAGGTGCTCCTCGAGACTCTACAGCTTTTGATAAAGAAAGAATGGATAAAGATCTGGGATCTGTGCAGGGATTTGAAGATATAAATAAATCTGAGAGAACCGAGAGTGTAGAAGGTGAGTGCCACTTCCTTTTGTCTGTTATACTGCTCCATTCCTTTTTAGACTAAAATTCTCATTCTTTTAAAACATTCTTACATCTCGTGAGTTTCTAATTAGGTATTCTAGTATGCTGCTCTGATATATATCTCTCCACTCCTTGCCTTGACAAAACATTTTTACTTCAGCTTTTTTCAATTATATTTTCATCTCAATTTTGAGTATAAATAGCATCAAATCATGAGCCATGGTATTCATGGAGGTACAACCTTGGTGTATAATTGAATATAATTGAACTAATTATTATAATAGCGCTACTTGTGATTGGAGTCAGTGTCTCTCATCCCTAAAATATGTCATTTGCCAGTTGTGACCCCAGATAATATAGCATAGAAATTTATGTGATAGAAAAATTTCATTCACTTAAAGTAGGAAAATGAGTTAGTGAACTTGAAAACTTAAAAATCCCAGTATATGTATTTATGTTTATGTGTATATTTGTATAAAGACAGTATTAAAATTGGTTACCTTGGAGGGGGATTGGTGATGTTGTGTTGTTGTTGTTGGTAGTTGCCCTCGAATCGATTCTGACTCATGGCAGCCCCACGTGTACAGAGTAGAATGGCTCCATAGGGTTTTCAAGGCTGTGACCTTTCAGAAGTATATCGCCAGTCCTGTCTGTCAAGGCCCCTCTTGGTGGGTTCAGAAAGCCAACCTTTCAGCTAGTAGTCAAGTACTTAACTGTTAACGCCACCGAGATGGTATGGGCAGAATTATTATATTACATAATTATTATTATAGAATTTGATAGAATAGAAAATTATTAGAGTGGCTAAAAATATTCCATAGTTTCTTATGTTTTATTTGCTGTAAACTTATACCTGCTGCTATCCATAAGATTTTCACAGGCCAATCTTTTTGGAAGTAAATCTCCACATCTTTCTTCCTAGTCTGCCTTAGTCTAGAAGCTCTTCTGAAACCTATCCACCATGGGTGACCCTGCTGGTATTTGAAATATCAGTGGCATAGCCTCTAGCAACATACAAACCACCACAGTACAACAAACTAAATGAAGAACAAATCTGTCTTGGAAGAAGTAGAGACAGAATGCTCCTTAGAATTAAGAATGGCAAGACCTCATCTCATGTACCTTGGGCATGTTATCAGGAGGGACCAGTCCCTGAAGGACATCATGCTTGGTATAGTAGAATGTTAGCGAAAAAGAGGAAGACCCTCAATGAGGAACCAACTCAGTGGCACTTAATAACAACAGCAACAACAACAACAAAATTATACCTATAAAGCATAACTTTGCATTTTGAAAACTTGTTCTATAGCCTCAGTAAAGTTTATGGATAACTAATGACTAGAAATATTAAGCATATTTTGTAGTTTTGGGATTATTTAAATGCACAACTAGCTCACCCGGAGACAAGCTTGGCATAGGTGATTGAGAAAAGTTGGTAAAGTAAAGAGATAGAACATACACTAGTGGAACTAACAAAGATATCTTGAGTTGTATTACAACATTCTTCTGAAAATTATATTTAGTATTTAAAGGAAAATATTGGGATAGGGAAGAGAAGTTGGAAGGTGGAGGAAGAATTAATGGCACCTCTACATTTTTATTTCACTGATCTTCATATCATGTATTATTATGGGCTAAGATTTAAGCTTAAAATAAATCTTATTAAGTTCGTTAGATTTTTTAATGAGTTTATTTAAGCTAAGAAGTTACTGTCGCCTTCTAAAATTAGTAGATTTGTCTGGATTTAAAGTTTTATTAGCACAAATTAATACAACATATGTAATTAACATTAATATATTAGTAGTAGCTTTTATTTCTCATATTTTAATTATAATCTTATAACCTATTCTGTTGCTATCCATATTATGTTTTTGCATTAAAACCAAATAAATTTTATCTTTTCGGTTTTCAAATTATCAAATGTTTCAATAATAAAGAAAAATAGTTTTCTAATGAAAAAATGCTTTTCAGGCTTTCCATTGTGCACAGGCTCTATGTCTTTGACTTGACTAAACATCTCTTCACTTGGAAGCTCTCTTTGATGTGCAATTAATTTCTCTGTTTAGCAGGAGATGATGATTCCAAGTTAGATGATGCACAGTCACTAGGGTCTGGGGCTGGAGAAGGATACGAGCCAATCAGTGATGATGAACTAGATGAAATTCTGGCAGGTGATGCTGAAAAGAGGGAGGATCAACAAGATGAAGAGAAGATGCCAGGTAATCATTTGCGGAGGTGATAGAACATAAAGATTATTTGATTCATGATATTAAGGTTTTCTCTGTAAGAATTGATGTAAGGCAGTTAGAATTCTCCTTGTATTTTAATTAAGGTTGCAAGTCCAATAAAATGAAAATTACAGTCCATATATCCTCATTTTCAACTCAGTGAGAGAAGGTAAACATTGCCTATGAGTTAGAAAGGGACTCATTTATAATAGTGAAATTTCAAGATGCCCTTTCCAGAATTTAAGATTCGTATTATGTGACTTGAAATCTAACCAAATGTTGATTGCCAGGCAGTGTTCTAGATGGTAGATATATGATACAGAGCTTCACGACTATGGTGCTACAACTTTTTAAATGACCATTTAAAAATTTACAATAGTTGAAATATTTGAACACTGTTTATATACCCCTTTCTGTCAGTTTTCTAAATTCAGTAATTAGTATTTTGACTTATAGTACTTTTTGCCTTGCCGAAGAGCTCACTCTAGTGACTATACCATGAAGCAACACCCCTTGATGGTCCTGTTGAATCATCTCAGTTAGTCTGATTGTTACTAACAATTTCTTATTTATCCTTAGTGAGGGTCTTTGTTTTGTCTGGGTATGTAAAATATTAACTTTTTATTTTGATTTAATTAGCACTTAGAGTTCACAGTTTTTTCTACTCATGTAGAAGATATGTCTGATTGTTACCTTTATTATCTGATATTCAGTATTCCTAAATAGAATGTTATTTTGTTAATTTCCTCAATTGCTCCTTCTTGATGGATGGATTATTTGGTCTCGATATTGATAAAATTTGATAATGAATCATTTGTTTTTACAAAGTAAAACGTGTGTGCGTGCGCACGCTTGCAAACTAAATACACTCTTAGATTTGACCCTTCAAAGAATTCTAGTGCCAAGTTTCAAAACATCAGATCAAATCTTAGTGAAATAATGTTTTTTCTCATGCGATCTCTCATGTGATTTAAATGATTATTTGTAGGGTGGATTTTTTTGTTTTTTGTTTACTTGTCTGTTTTTGGTGGGTAGATTGTTTTTTATTTGTAAGGGTTTAAATTCTGAATGTTAGTGTTTATGGAAAAGCTTTCAATTTAAGATGATGACATTTGGGTTTAAAGTACTTGTTATTTAATACTTTCTGTATTTTGTCTTGATATATATTTATCTATAGATAACAAAAATGCTATTTCATGGTATTAAAAAATTCTATCCTTTAACTTTTTGCAGATCCTTTAGACGTGATAGATGTGGATTGGTCTGGTCTTATGCCAAAACATCCAAAAGAACCACGAGAGCCTGGGGCTGCACTCTTAAAATTCACACCTGGAGCTGTTATGCTGAGAGTTGGGATTTCTAAAAAATTAGCAGGTTCTGAACTTTTTACCAAAGTCAAAGAAACATGTCAGAGACTTTTAGAAAAACCCAAAGGTAATTCCACTTCACTTTGCATAATGTCTGCTGTCACTATTAAGATGACTTTGGAAAGGACTCTATTGTGTTCTTATGTAGCATAATATAGGAACTTTTTTTTTTTTAAGGAATCATTTCTATTCGTTATTTAATCCTCAACTTCAAAATTAGTTTTTTAAAACTTATTTTGAAAAGAAATTTAAACTTACAGAAAGGTTGCAATAGTACAGTGAACTTCTGTATCAAAATTACTTTTTAACAGATAGTAAATTAAAATGCTAAAGTGCTTAGGTAATGCTTTACCCAAAACTAAATGAAGCAGAACTTGGAAAACTGGACTAGATATTTTTCGTATCTCAGCAAAGTGGGTGTCTTAGCACCTCTCCCCCTGGGAAATGGGGAATTATACTCAAATGCAGATGTATAGATTGAGTTTTTTAAAAGGTGGTTAAGAACTTGGTCTCTGGGGCCAGACGGTCTGGATTCCAATAGGACACACCACGTACTTGGTATTAGTAGCTCATATATTCTCCTTCCAACCTCCTCCCCACTCCCCACCGTCACCCTGGATTCTCTTTTCTGGTGCCTGCCTTATTTTGTTTTGGCAGCTTATTAATACTTTTGTTAATGGAGAAGGGCCTGGAGTAATGGGTGGTGAAAAGAAGGAAAAGGAGGTAAAAGATGAAAACAATAGTATTTTTTAACAATTTTTTGTCATTTCCCTGAGAGTAAAAAGAAAGTTTGGTTAAAAGAATTAAGTTTTTTACTAAAATGAAATTGCAAAAAAAAGATGATTCATGCATTTCATGAATCTGTGCCGTCTTCTCACCTGTTAGCACAAGCAGTAAAACTTTTGATTTTAATACGGCCCAATAAGCATAGAGTGTGTGTATATGAAACATATAAATGATAATTATGAATGTGTGTTAACCTGAAAAGTGACCAAAGATTTGGATTCTTGCCCTCATTCTTTCTGCCTTGTTTGGTTGGTTCTGTGACCTTCAGCAAGGAATTCCAGTGGGTCTCAATTTCATTTGTAAAATGATGGAGTAAAACCTCTGAGGTCTTGTTCACTTCTAAAGCTGTTTGCTCCTGCGGCTTTTGTTAATAGCATTTTGAGTTAAAATCTAGCTTGACTAACTATGAAATGCAGTTTGGCCTTGACTTATTGATGACTTACCTAAAGAAAATATACATCTGTAAAAGGGTTTGATTGTTGTTTATCAGTCAGGCCTCTCCAGTTTTTCGCTACTATCATAGCTTTTTAGGAAACTAATATGTAATGTTGAATATAAGTTTCCTAAGGAATAGGATTTTATTTTGATTACGGCTATATCTGCTATTCAATTATCTATTCTTACTAATTATGCTATTGTCTAGAACAGTGCCTGACACACAATAGGTATTCAATAACTAATTTCTGAAGTAATTGATACTGATGTTTCTGTTCCATTTGGTCTAATCTAGTTGCCCCAGCACTGGAGAGATTATCCCTACCACCACCTTGTGTATAATTAAAAAAGAAAAAGAAAACAAAAAGAACAACAAAGGCTTAAAATACAAAACTGAAGTATATGTTGTTGTTAGGTGATGCCGTGAGTCGGTTCTAACTCAGCAACCCCATGTACAACAGAACACTTCCCAGTCCTGCTCCATCCTCACAATCATTGCTGTGTTTGAGCCCATTGTTGCAACCACTGTGTCAGTCTATCTTGTCGAGGATCTTTCTCTCTTTCGCTGACGTTCTGCCTTACCAAGCATGATGTCCTTCTCCAGGGAATTGTCCCTCCTGATAACGTGTCCGAAGTATGTGAGACAAAGTCTCACCATCCTCGCTTCCAGAGAGCACTCTGGCTGTATTTCACTTGCTCATTCTTTTGGCAGTCCATGGTATATTTGGTATTCTTCGCCAACACCATAATTCAAACGCATCAATCTTCTTCCGTCTTCCTTATTCATTGTCTAGCTTTCACATGCATATGAGGCGATTGACAACACCATGGCTTGGGTCAGGCACTCCTTAGTAGTCAAAGTGACATCTTTGCTTTTCAACACTTTAAAAAGGTCTTTGGCAGCAGATTTGCCCAGTGCAATATGTTGTTTGATCTCTTGATTGCTGCTTCCATGGATGTCATTGTGGTTCAAAGTAAAATGAATCCCTTGACAGCTTCAGTCTTTTCTTCGTTTATCGTGATGTTGTTTATTGGTCCAGTTGTGAGGATTTTTGTTCTTTATGTTGAGGTGTAATCCATACTGAAGGCTGTAGTCTTTGATCTTCATCAGTAAGTGCTTCAAGTCCTCTTTGCTTTCAGCAAGCAAGGTTGTGTCATTGGCTTGTCGCAGGTTTGTTAATGAGTCATCCACCAACCCTAATGGCCCATTCTTCTTCCTGTAGTCCAGCTTCTTGGATTATTTGCTCAGCATACAGTTTGAATAGGTATGATGAAAGGATACAACCTTGATGCACACCTTTCCTGACTTTAAACCATGCAGTATTCCCTTGTTCTGTTTGAACGACTGCCTCTTGATCCATGTACAGATTCCTCATGTGCACAATTAAATGTTCTGGAATTCCCATTCTCCGCGATGTTATCCATATTTTGTTACGATCCACACAGTCAAATGCCTTAGCACAGTCAGTAAAACTATTGACTATGGATCCATCTGACATCAGCAGTAGTATCCCTGGTTCCACGTGCTCTTCTAAATCCGGCTTGAATTTCTGGCAGTTCCCTGTCGATATACTGCTGCAGCCACTTTTGAATGATCTTCAGCAAAATTTTGCTTGCATGTGATATTAATGATATTGTTCGATAATTTCCGCATTCAGTTGGATCACGTTTCTTGGGACTAGTCATGAATATGGATCTCTTCCAGTCAGTTGGCTGGGTAGCTGTCTTCCAAAGTTCTTGGCATAGACAAGTGAGCACTTCAGTGCTGCATCCGTTTGTTGAAAACATCTCAGTTGGTATTCCATCAATTTCCAGAGTCTTGTTTTTCACCAGTGCCTTCAGTGCAGCTTGGACCTCTTCCTTCAGTACCATCGGTTCCTGCTCATATGCTACCTCCTGAAATGGTTGAATGTTGACCAGTTTTTTTTTGGTACAGTGACTCTATGTATGCCTTCCATCTTCTTTTGATGTTTCCTGCATTGTTTAATATTTTCCCCATAGAATCCTTCAGTATTGCAACTCGAGGCTTGAATCTTTTCATCAGTTCTTTTAGCTTGAGAAATACCATGCATGTTCTTCCCTTTTGGTTTTTTAACTCCAAGTCTTTGCACATTTCATTATAATACATTAGTCTTCTTGAGCCGCCCTTTGAAATCTCCTCTTCAGCTCTTTTACTTCTTCGTTTCTTCCATTAGCTTTAGCTACTTTACTTTACATTCAAGAGCAAGTTTCAGAGTCTCTTCTGACATCCATTTCGGTCTTTTCTTTCTTTCCTGTTTTTTTAAGGAGCTCTTGCTTTCTTCATGTATGATGTCCTTGATGTCATTCCACAACTGTTCTGGTCTTGGGTCAATAGTGTTCAGTGCATCAAATTTGTTCTTGAGATGGTCTCTAAATTCAGGTGGGATATACTCAAAGTCGTATTTTGGTTCCGGTGGTCTTGTTTTAATTTTCTTCAGCTTTAACGTAACTTTGCATAAGAGTAATTGATGGTCTGATCCCCAGTCTGCCCCTGGCCTTGTTCTGACTGATGTTATTGAGGTTCTCCATTATCTCTTTCCACAGATGTAGTCAGTTTGTTTCCTGTGTTTTCCATCTGGTGAGGTCCACGTGAATAGTCGACATTTATGTTGGTGAGAAATGGTATTTGCAGTGAAGAAGTTGTTGGTCTTGCAGAATTCTATCGTTAGATCTCCTGTGTCATTTCTATCACCAAGACCATATTTTCCAACTACAGATCCTTCTTTTTTGTTTCCAACTTTCACATTCCAATCAGCAGTAATTATCAGTGCATCTTGATTGCATGTTTGATCAATTTCAGACAGCTTAAGTTGCTAAAAATCTTCAGTTTCCTCATCTTCAGCATTAGTAGTTGGTGCGTAAATTTGAATTATAGTCGCATTAACTTGTCTTGTACGCATATGGATAGTGTCCTATCACTGACAGCATTGTACTTCAGGATGAATCTTGAAATGCTCTTTTTGACGATGAGTGCAACCCCATTCCTCTTCAAGTTGTCATTCTTGGCATAGTAGACCATATGATTGTCCAATTCAGAATGAACAATACCAGTCAATTTCAGCTCACTAATGCCTAGGATATCGATCTTTATGCATTCAATTTTATTTTTGACAACTTCCAGTTTTCCTTGATTCGTACTTCATACATTCCATGTTCCGATTATTAATGGATGTTTGCAGCTATTTCCTCTCATCTTGAGTTGTACAGCCTCAGCAAATGAAGGTCCTGAAAGCTTGAGTCCATCCATTGTCATTAAAGTTGACTCTACTTTCCTGAGACAGCTCTTCCCCAGTCGTATCTTGAGTGCCCTTGGACCTGAGGGGCTCATCTTCCCACACTGTATCAAACAATGTTCCGCAAGTATTCCATAAGGTTTTCAATGACCATTTTTTTTAAAGAAGTGTACTGCCATTTCCTTCTTTCTAGTTGTAATTCTTAGTTTGGAAGGTCAGCTGAAACCTATCCACAATGGGTGACCCTGCTGGTATTTGAAATACCAGTGGCATAGCTTCCAGCAGCACGCAAGCCACCACAGTATGAGAAACTGACATGCGTGGTGGTTAGGTATATTGCTTTTTCTAGGTTTTCTGATTGCGATATGGTTAAGTTCTTCTGAGCTAAACTTTTCTAGATATTTTGGTGTGTTTGCTTTACTTGTATTTAAAATCTAAAAAACCAAACCCATTTTGCCATCTAGTTGATTCCAACTCATAGCGACCCTTGTGTTTAAGTATGTGTTTAGTCTTAAACCATTGTGCCACCAGGGCTCCTTTCATGTCTCATAGCTACTGTGTATACAAAGTAATTTATAGCAAAAAAGTATCATACTTTTACATCAACTTGATAACTGTAAGATTTTAAGTTTTTCTTTATTATATACATACACTTTTCTTACGTTATATACCTGTTGACTAGGTATATGACATGAGACTAGTTTCTTGTTAATTATCTAATCTCACTAGTTATGGTTTGCAGTTCAGAAAGTTGAAATGAAGTATGTAATACGGTTCTGTTCATTCTCAGTCAGATGTGTCTGCTTAGTTTTTGCCTGAGTGTTTTTTACTGCTTTCCTTTGTGGGCTTTAACAGGACCTGTTTGAACATGTTTGAATAGAGGCAGTGCCTGGTGCCTTTGATACTCTTTGCTGACTCTTAGAATGCTAACTTTGAAGTCACTACTCTTTTCTGTTATTTATGTGGATTACTGGCTGAATCTATTCTGTTTCCACTTCCATTTTGTTTATTTTTAACTAAGTATCTTTATTTTTATAAAATACCTTAATTATTCTTAATTTGTATAAAGTTTAAGTGTTTGCTCTCTACGTTGCATGTTGTAACTTAAGTCTAAGTGAGTTTAATTCCATACATTGTCCCAGATTTTATAGTGACCAAAGCTGGGAGAAAATGTGCAGATTGTCTGATGAACACCTAATCACATTTCTAACTTAACTGAATTCTTTAGTGGTCACAGTTTTGAATATTATTACATTTGATTCTTGCTGTAGAAAAGTCCTGAAATCTAGAGCTTTAAGAAGTAGTTGATAGTAAGCAGTATACTGAATTTTATATCACTGATTCTTAACTTGAACTTTTCTTCTTCTCATAGTCAGTAATTGGTGTCTAATTCTCTCAAGTCTTTTTTTTTTTAATAT